GACAAGAGTGACTCATTCAGGTGAAGATGTAGAGTTACATAGATTTGATCACAAGAGGGAACAGGTAGATAGATGGAGCTGGTCATGTCTGGGTTGTCTTCACCATTGCTTTGTTCCAACCAGCTGCTCAGGGGATCACAGGAATGTCATGACTGTCTTGTTCTTGCCGATCTGCCAGGGCTCCAGTGGGTAAAAGCGGATGACAATCCTTTTGGATATAAGAGCAAAAATGTGGACAGTGGACAGGAAACATTATTTTACAATTAAATATTATCCCTGCCCAGTTTGCAACATGGTAGAAAATCTGCACTAAGGTCTCAGTGTCTTACACTTCATGGTATTAATTTAACAGAAGCAAACATAAGCTGTGTACGGGCAGGGTACAAACAGGTACCAGACTTCACCCACACAAATAAAAGCAGACTGAATTTCAACAGTCTGCCTATGAGATACTTGTCCATTTCAGAAGGGCTCAAGCAAACTCTTGGCAGGGATTTACCCCAGCAGCATCCAAGAGGCAGGGAAATGCTATTATCACTCTCCTTTGGGGAGAAGGGCACAGAGGGACATGGCTGACCTTCAGGAACAGTCCTGTTCCCACATTTGGCATGGTGATCCCACTGTGAAGCTCTACCAATTCCTATGGGGTTTTGCACCAATTTCACCAACTGAACTACTGATCTTCAGAGAACAGCTAAAGCCCAGACTGTTCAACAAGTGCAAACCAGTACACAGTTTTATCTGGCCCCAAACCACATATCTGGGGTTCAGCATCCAAGAGCACTTAAGGTTTGCAATCTAGTCTTGGATCTCTATTACACCTTAACCTCCTGGAGGACATGGGAACTGTCCCAGCCTTGCTGCCCTTAACATCCCCTATACTTTGGTTTGCCGTGCTCCACATCTCGACGGACCACACAGAGCTGTGGAGCTGATAGAAGGGACGATCTCCCTCTCCCTGCCCCAGGGGTTATCCCGGTGTCCTTGCCCTCGGGGCGAAGGCGGCGCCGAGGCCGAGGCCGCCCGGCCGGGCCGCACTCACCGCTCGGTGCCGAGGCCCAGCTGCGCCGTCAGGACGTCGAAGAAGCGGGCGCTGTGCCGCTGGTTCTGCTCCGCCGTGCCCACCACGCCGATGGAGGAGACGACCAGCTGCGCGCAGGGCTCGGCCGAGCCCGACAGCACCATGGGCAGCCCGCTCCGCACCGTCACGTTCACCGCTGCCGGCACAGCCACAGTTAGGCCCCTGCTGCCCCTGGCCCCGCGCCCCGGCCCCGCCGCTCCCGGCCGCCGCCTCGGCCCCGCCGCCCCGGCCCGGCGTCTCCGCCCGCGCTCCGACCCCGCCGTCCCCCGGCCGCCGCCCGGCCCCGCTCACCTCGGCCGGTTTGCCAGGATGTCCGCAGTGGCAGCGCACAGGTCTGGGAGCCCCGGCGGCAGCCGCTCGGCCGGCAGGTTGGTCTCCAGCTCCACGAACGGCATCGCGCTGCTCCCACCGCGGCCCGAACGCCGCCGCCTGCACCCGCCGGCCCGGCCGCCCCTGCCCGCCCCGGGCAACGGTGGCCCGCGGGGGGCGGGCTCAGCCCCGGACGCCCGCAGCAGCGCCGGGCTGCCCTCCCGCTGCCTGCCCTCCCGGTGCCCTCCCGCTGCCCCTCGCCCTTTGCCGGCGCCAGTCAGGGCTCAGGGCTTTCTGTGCTCCACCGCAGCTGCACCAGCTGGCTCTCGGGCCTTTGGGGTTTACCGTGTGCCGTGCTGGGATATGCATTAGGGGCTGTGAGACCTCACACATCTCACCGGGTAAAATGAGTTTTGTGGCAGTCAGTCCTTTGGTGACATTTCAGGTCACTGCAACAGGCACCTCTGCACCTGTGTGTGCAGGGAAGGTTGAGAGTGGAAGCACGGTGATTTCTCGGAACAACCAGCACCACAAGAAATTAAAAAGCAAGCAGAGAGGTTTACTCCTTTATCCACTGTGTATTAATTACCAGGACTTTGAGAAATCAGGGCTTTGAGCTGAGTTGATAAAAGTGACCCCGGCAGGCTGGCTCGCAGGGACAGCCTAATCTACAGATCAGAGGTGTCTTAACTAGAGATCAGAGGTTTATTAGAACCTGAGCTACTGTCCACTGAGGTTCCATGTGCTCATTTACAGCGAGGGGTTATGAACCAGCTTGACTGAAAGGTCATCTTGTTTAAGGCACAGAACTGTTGTGAAAATTGGCCCTGTGTAATGTGACTTCTTGAGTTTCTACAGTCCTAGACAATGCTAATGAAAACTGATGGGATTGCTCATTCTTTTTGCTGAGGGAATTGCTTGGCCTTCACTGCTGCTAATGAAGACAATACTGGCACAAGGGGCCGTGTGTACAAACCAGCCAGGAATAAGTCTGGGAAAAGATTTCTAGGAGAGAGATTGTGAAGTGAGAGACCCAAAGGGAGAGGGGAGGGAGTACTGCAGGCTGGCAGGGGGTGGCTGCTTGCGGTGACAAGCAATAATACAGATGTTCCCTTTAAATCCAGGAAATCAGCAAAAGAAATTACCCCAAAAAGTTAGATTACAGGGCAAATTTATAGAAATGTATAATCTTGTAAATAGATGGTCCTGAGTTTGTCACCAAAACAAAGGCAGTGGGGGTACTCAGCCACCTTGCAAATCCTGGGTGCAAGCCCACTCCTGCCTGTTTGCTGGGTGTCAATGACTCGAGGGAAGATGCCTTTTAGGATCCATTTTTCTCTATTTTTCTCACATTCCTTCAAATATCTCTTTCTCATATTCCTTTCTCATATTCCTTCAAAAATCTCTTCCAATTTCATTGCCACAAAAACCCCATGTGATAAGAAACCAGTATATCAGAAGGCCTCTAAAGGGAAAGAAGATTTAAGTATCGGGTGTCAGTAATTAGAACTGGACGGGGGACTGTCACAAACATCTTTAAAGATATGCATTGTCCTTTGCTCTTGATGGTTCACCATGTGAATGGCAGATTGTTCATGGTCTCACAGAGATCTTATTAAACTAAACACATTTGTTTTATTGTTTCTGTCTTGGATCAGGCAATTAAAATGCTTGTAGGGGGATGAACAACCAAGACAGGACAGCACAGCAGCAAATAATCTCAAACATGCTCAGCCTTTGGAAAATGATGAGTTTTTTTTCTCTCCTGCAAACATTTGCAGTCTCATCATCCACTTCATGATTCCACTCTCAATATTATTAAAAAAATCAACCACTTCCCATTTAAAATTTAAGTCAGTTGTGGACAATATTATGTGAATAAAACATCAATAAAAACATATTATTCAGCTCATCTTTGGGAAGAAAGGAAGGGTGGGAATAAAAATGTGCCTATTTCCAGTAGGGAAATAGACCTCCCTCCAGAGAGGGTCTTCAGTCAAGTCTCTTGACTTCATGGAGAACATAATCACAAAACAAAATTTCCTGCTAATGCAAGCTGAAGTATACAAATGAGTTCTCTTTCCAGACAGGGAATTTAAAGATCTCTCTGGGCTCTGGATTAGACAGTATCTAGAACTGAAACCTTAGTGAAAAACATCATGAAAACACATCAGCTTTTATAGAACTTGCCAGCAAAAGTGTCACAAGCCAAGACATGGTACTACTGGGAAAATAACCCAAACAGAGAAGCAACTCCTGAATTAATTACTCATTTTGTCTTAGTCTTTACAGGAAGAGTTCTTGGGCAAGGATTTCAGAGTAAGGTTCAAGGGCAACAACTACTTATGAAGGGAAATACACATATGTATATTCCACCATTTCTGTATCCTTTACAATTTGTTATTTTCAACTGAAGAAACTAGAAATGGTTGGATTCGCTCAGTTTTACTTCATAAATTGTGCTGCAGTACAAAAGGATTTTGTATTTGAGCTACAGCTAACCCGAAGCAAACAGCCAAGGAAAAGAGCCCAAAAGCTGCAAAACAACTCTCTGCCCTTTTATTGTGAGGAATATGTTGCTCAATGCCACAAAATCTCTCTTGTTACTTCAGCTGCACAGGGTGACTTACTTGGTGAACTTCCATCCAAAACAGTCTCAGAAGAGCAGGTCTGCACTTATTCCCTGTCTGCATTTATTCCCCCTATCCATTTTCTAGGAGAAATGTGGATTGCTATTACAGTATTACCACCAAAAAAAAATCATTTGTTTACTGTTACATATTCTTTCAAGAAATCACTGTGAATGCATTCTTTCAGAGTACTCCCTCTATAATATCAACATGGTATTTTAGGCAGGCAATGATTCCAAGGCTGTGGCCACCACCAGCCTGTTGAAGTGACTTGGTCTTTCCTGCAAAGATCTCCAAGAACAGCCCCTGCCACACGTGTACTGGCAGACTGAGCACCAAGGGAACCCAGGCTTTCAGAAATCAAAAGCAGTGGTTAAACTGAAGAATTATAAAGATTCACAGCTGTAGATGAATACAAAGACATTTCTCACAGGAACCTAAAGGCAGCTAGAACTGTGGAATGTACATGGACAGCCAAGCAAGATGCCTCAGAAATAAGAAACTTAAGAAAAAAAATCAAATTCTTTTTTCACTTTTGTGAAGTAGTTTTGTGCTGTAATTATCTGTGCAGATATGTGCTGGAAGATGAGAATTAGGCACACTTTGCAGTGTAAATGTTAAAAACTCGTGAAAACAACAATCCTCATCCTCTTCAGTTCTCTGATGTTCCCAGTTTATAGGCTGGCTCAGATTCTGTCAGGAAATACCGTTCTTGTCTCTAGCATTGCTGAAAAGACTGACTCCTAAATAAAATCCAGATGCATATTAAGTGACCTCTAGGGCCTCAGCCTTCTGTATAAATTTAATGTTTCGGTTCTTAAACCTTCCCCAGCTTCCACCCCCAAAGATACAAGAAAGGCCTGGCCAGGGGGGAAACACTCTGCAATTTCTGTGTTAGAATTACAGTGCTCTTTCCAGCTATGTGTAGAACTGGAGGTCAGAGAAGAGGTTAAAAAAAAAGAAAAAAAAGGCAGGAAAAATTGTAAGATAGGTTAATTCATTTCAACATCTTCATCAGCACAGGTGCCAGTTGCTCTTTCAGCTGTGGATCAATCTGAATGTTGCTCAGTTCTTTGATATTGAGGATCATCTCATGGGCTTGGAAGAAAAGCTCTTTCCCCACAGCATCCTCCACCCGCCTGCGCCACTCCATCAGCCTGGGTCTGTCCTCAAAGATGTCACAACCAACTCCAACAGGCTGCAGAAAGGGGAGAGAGCAACAGTGAGGCTTTGGGCAGTGACTTCTTCACTGAGACAACAGGTACCAAAAGTGCACCTCGAGGTACAGATAAAGGAAAAAAAAATGAAGAGTTCATAGAGGAGCTATAGGAAGGAGGGAGATCTCCTCTGGTCAGGTGTACCTATCTAGGGAACACAGAAGCTAAACTGTATTTTAAAAGGCATCTACAAGTCAATTCTTGAGTGCTGAAAGAGCTGTTATGAGCAGCAGAGGTGACTACCATGTACTGTGAGTGATTTTCAGCCACAGCATTAAAGGCATGGTGGGCTGGCAGTTCCAGGGACCACTGCACAGTTTGCAGGACAGGTCTGACAAAGAACAACCAGTTTGTAACAGATTTAATTTGATTGCCTCTGTCTGAGACTAATTCTTGCATCTTCCAGACATGGCATGGGCAAGTACCATATTTTTGAATGATAAAAATATTCCTATTTTTTATTTCATCAGACCTGTCTGCTATTGCTTCTCACTTAAATATATTACCTCTTTCTCTGGAGGTTAAAAATAAAGTCATGATAAAGAATGAAGAAGAGGTATTGTTAGAGAAGAGAAACAAAAGAGATCTGTTGCAGCCAGCTTTTTGTGTGTTCTAAACCCACTCCCATATTCTCCCTATTGTTTTAGGCTAGTTCTGTTGAGATATGCCCTCGCTCCTCTTTCTACTGAAGTGTTACCACATGCTGCACCCTCCCTGCCCAGCAGCATCTGTTTTCCCTTGTGCTGACACTTCCTTACCAAACTCCACCACTCACTTGCATCAGCTCCACAATGGCCACAAGATCCGCCAGGGAGATCTCGCTCCCGATGATAAAAGCCTTGTCCTGCAGAAACCTCTCCTCAAACTGCTTCAGGGAAGTGGACAGCCCCTCCATAACCTCCTGGAGCTTCTCAGAGGGCAGTGGCTGCCCTGTGAAGAGGGGAATCAGCACCTGAGGAGAGAAGGGACTTAAAAGTACACCTGGCTGTCTTCTCACAAATCCAATCGTAGTAATCGCAGTTACACCCCATGAACTGCTCATGATCATCAGTGATCCTGCAGCAAAGCCACAGGAGGGGATGATGGTGGAGCTTCATGGACTGCTACAGCTTCAAGTAGCTCATGGACAGAGAGCACACAAGCAGGCCAAAGGGGCTGACCTGAACTCCAGCTAATCAGCAGCAATGTGCAGAACTAAATCAAGGATTCACCTCATTTTGTCCCTGGTAGTTGTGCCCTCCCACTCCACCCTGTTGGGTTACAAAAGAAAAGTGGGCAACAGCTCCAGGGGAAGACAAATCTCTGCCATATTCACCCCTGTTACACCCTCTGTTTCACCAGCCAGCCAAGGCAGGTCAGCAGCTGCCTGCCCACCAGCCACCCTGGCCATGGAACTGGGTGCTGGAGGCAGCTGCCTGTCCCACAGGATGATGGAGAGGAGGGAATGGTGCTGGCAGTGGCAGGAGTGTGGGGAGGGACTAGAATGCTGGAGGGACTGGCTGGAAAGGCAGAAATGGCTTCCTCTGTGTGACAGCAGCCAGTGAGGCTGGGAGTGGATCAACACCTTTTTTACACCAGCCTTTCTGTGGCCTCCCAAGCACCACTCTTTAAACCAGTAAAAATTTTTCCAGAGCAATCACATAACTGCAGTCCTTGTGTCTCCACAGACTTGCTGGCACAGAGGGTAGTTGCCTTTCCAAGACATTTTTAGCTGCTCACAGGGGTATACCCACCACCAGAGCCCACAGTGTTTCGCAACTACGCTGCCTTCACCTTCCACAGTTGAAGAAATACAGTTTATTAAGAGAATCAAAATTAGAGATATAAATTTCAATCAGTGCGAGTTGACTGAATTTCTACTTACTGCAAGTATATTCAACAATGCAAGCTGAGATTGCTTAATCCAAGCCATGATTTTGGCCAAATACATGTGGAACCTATTTCATCAGAAAATTCATGGCCAGTTCTTTTCCTCAGTGATTCCAATTATCCGTGATGGGATCTCTGGATAAAATCACTTGAAACAGCATCTTCTTTCTTTTCTTTATCTCAGGGCCGTCTATCTTCTCCCATTTCTAGCTAATATGCTTCTATTACATGGTGGCTTTATAAGTTTCCATATTTTCAGTTATTCTGAAGACCTTTTCTGCATGTGGGTTATCTAATCCTCTGCAGCAAGTAGTTGGATTTCTTTCCCTTAGAGCAGTGCAGTAACAGCCTGCAGAGGCTGGAAGAAACTGCTTCTTGAATGAATCTGACTCATATTTGAACTGTTTTTCTGTACTCTGTAGCCAAAAAATCAAATGCCAATAAATCAAGAAGCTAAATGAGTCCTGATATGCTTTGTTAGGCACAAACAAGGGCAAACTTCACAGCTGAGGAGGGAAGTTCTTACCTGTTCACTAGCAATTATGATTTCATTTGAGATTCCATACCACAGCTGTACTTGCAGGGCTATATTTGCACCTGGGTCTCTCTGAGGATAGCTGCATTAACTGTGAGTTGGCTGGAAATAGGTGTCCAGCAAAATCATCTGATACTAAATAACTTTCTGCCTCAGGGTAATTCTTTTAATTTTGCCTAAATGTGTATTGACCTGACTACACTGAATAAGGAATATCTGCACTTCTGAGTCTCTCTTCTCTCTGTCCCTGAGCCCAGTACCTAAGTGTACTGGAAGCAGAAGGCTCCTTTGGGATTTCTACCCTGATGGGGCTGCAGGGATTTGTATGAAAACAGCAAGTCTTTTTGCTTCCAGCAACAAAGTACATGCTCACCAAAGCCAAACTTCTGCCGATGTGCACGCTCTGCACAGCTGTGCAGTGAGGGGGAGGCCCCTGGAGGCAATTCCCAATTGGTTATATATTCATTCACAAATCCAGGCAATGGAATCCTGTTGGGTTCGAGACGTTCTGTACCAGATGTACTTCAAGGAAAAAAACCAAAATGGCCAAAGCTGCTTTTGCCAAATCCTGGTGTTGATCAATTCAGAACAGCTCCCTCTCTGACAGCTCCTCTCGGCCCAGGTCTGTTGTTTCAGCACAACAAACTCACTCCGGACTGGGGGTGTTCAAATGCTCAGTATTCTCACAGGCAAACATCACTTCACTCACATTTGAATAGTCAGCCTCCTTACCTTGATCCACATGGTCTTAGGAGCATTAGCCCGGATGTTGGCGTGATGCCAGGAGAGGTATTCATCTACCCGGGCCCGTTTTTGTATGTCTGAGGGGTACCAGTGGTCAGGAGTGTTGTACTTTCGGCTCAGGTACAGCAGAATGGCAGTGCTGCTCACACATCAACAGGAGACAAGAAAGGGGTCAGGCAGTTGTGATGCAGAATGCTCTCACCTAAGCTCCCTCTCCTGCTCCTTCTGAACTCGCTGCTTCCACCAAAAGGTATTCAGATCAGGATTTCCAGTGGAATCTAGGCATCTAATTCGTGTTGACATCAGAGATGGCCCTTAATCACCTTAGTTCCCACAAAAACTTTAACCTGCTGGAAAATCACAGCACTGTTCTGTGGTGCTGCTGGACCGTACTGGGGTAAACAAACCATAAATCTCCATTATCATCTACAGCAAAGGTAACTCTACTTGCTCCTTGACTGTTCTGACCCATCTCTCCAAGACCAACACATGTTTATGTGCTTGTGTACAAAACTCTCTAATGGGTTATGCTGCCTTTCCATCAGGCCTGTCCCCAGCCAGCAGCTTCCACTGAAGTCTGTGGAAAGCTCAGCAAGGAAACCCTACAGAATCTTTTTGTGTTTGTCCAGATGTTTATACTTCCACTAACTGGCAGGAGGAGTCAGATGGAAAGATATCTTAGTCATCTGAGACAATACTTAGGCTGTTACTACAAATAAAAATGCCACAGAAAATGTGCTGACAAAATGGAAGAAAATGCAGACCTCTCTACTATCCTGGTACTACTATAGTTAAATTATTTCAGTATTATGATACCATTAACCAGTCTCCATATTAGTCTTTTAATGTAAACCCTAAATTTTATCTCCGTAGGTGTTCAGTCAGCCTTTATGACTAATGCAGATAAACAGAATTCTTTCCTAGAGTAAAAGGGTTTTTCTTTTCCTAGGGTGAAAGGAATTTTTATAAGCTTTAAACATTTCCCAGAAATGTTTATAATCCCATTTTGAGCTAAGTGCATTCAGGGTGAGATCAAGAAGCTAAGTCAGCTGAATTGTTTACATTCTGAAAGATACTTCAAACAGAAAATGGAAAGAGATAAAATGAGGTTATACTATTAAAAATAACCAACACGTTCATATATTCTGTGATCCTTAATCATTCCATGGGAATGACATTTTCTAAATGCAGCACAGACTGCTGGTACCCAAGGAAGTCTAAGGACTGAGTTCTTACCATTCCGCAAGGGTGAAGTCTCCGTCCTTCAGTGCTGGTACTTTCTTTAAGAGGTTGACTTTGCCAGTGCCTTGGCTATTTGATGGCCCTAAGAACATGAACAGACAAGGCTGAGGTTAGAAGTGTATCTGTCAGTGAATGATAAATGAGATATCTGCAGCCAACTGGACAATCAGTGACCTGTGTTAGGTTTTTCTGATATGGTCGTATTTCACAATTAAAAGGTAATGAAATGGAAGAGTCAGTGTAAGAGCTGTCTGTAGAGGGCAGTCGGCTCAGGCTGGGCCTGCAGCATGGAGCAGTTCACATTTCTGTACAGGAGTTCTACTGCTTGACTCAGGGACCAGGATACTGGCAAAACTTACTGACAAAAACCACTCCCTGAGAGGCACTTAGAGCACACAATGAAGGTGCTGGTATTGAAAACACCATTGCAGATAAAAAGAACAGCTGACTTGTCTTGAGAACAATGTGTCCTATGGCTTTAGAGACAGAGAGGAAAAAAGACAGAAGTTAGGATGAGGACAACTGAGCACCTACAAAATACTTAATATTTGCCAAGGAAGCAGGGTCTGGGAAAGTTGAGTTTGCATACAGAGCATCCTGATGAGGACAGATGGTTGCTGCTCCTGGTCCTGTTCTGACAGGAGCCACCAAAACAATGTAATTTTCCCGCAGTTTGTAAATGTGGGTGACTCTAGCTAGGATGGTCATGATGGAAAGCAACTGAAAAGCCCTGTGCCCCCAGAGATCACTGTAGTGGCTGATCAACCAAAGAGAACCCAACTAGATAACAGACACTGAGCAAAATCTTCCTCCTGTTTGTTTATCCCTGAAAAGTAGAGGGAATCAAGCACTTACAAACAAAGTAAATGTTGTCAACAGAGCCGATCCCTCAGCAGCCATGTAGCTGAGGATGTTTCCAAAGTTTTTGACTGGAAAAACACGAGTGCCAGCAGTACCACTGTAGGTTCATAAAATAAGCCAGATGTGGACATTTGCCAGGGGCAAGGGAGCTCAGACACCTCCACCCTTCATTATTCCTGACTCTGTGCTACACCTGACTCTGCATGTCAGCCTACCTCTGACAGGAAAACGCAGGAAGAAGACACCATCCCATAAGAATTTAAACTCCACAGTCCCCTGGAGGCATCAACAGCCGACCATCTAATCAGAGTTTCAGTTTCCTGCTGCTGGCACTGCTCTTGCCAGTCAGCAGTTAAATTGCCAGGGAATTGTACAACAGTCCAGGAACACCTGAGCAGAAAAGCTCTGAGGAATTTGTGTGCTTTGCTTGTTTTAAGTGCTCCTTAGAAGGAGGAGGGAGAAAAAAAAAGAAAAAAAAAAGAAGGTCTCTTAACTAACAGTGATCTCCATCCCCAAGAACTATTTGCCCCCATTCCAGAGGCAGTGACAGTGTCTGCTTTACTGGACAAATGTGCAGCAGGAAATAAGTCTCCAGGAAATAAAACCACCCTCTGGACTATCAAATTTGTTTGCATATCATTTGGGAAGGGGTGGGAGAAGGCAGGTAGCTGCATTACAATGACAGACTCCTTTCTCTATATAGATTTCACATAATGAGGCAAATCAAGCAGAGCAGACATTACCACCCTGTTTTCCTTTCTAGCTGACTAGCCTCTACCTTGTTTCTTTGAGAAGTATTTTTTTTAATTCCAGTGTAAGTAGCTTCATCAGAGACCAAGGTTCACATCCATCTGCTGTCTGAAGGGATTCAAACCCATGTGTTCCATCTCGGTGGGAAAAGTTTCTGGCTACCTGCTGTGATGGTGGCCTCCAGCTTAGCTGGGTAAGAGGTTCCATGTGCAGAACAGGCAGCACTGTCAAGAGAGGCAGGAAGCCAGAGCTTCTTAAGAATAAGAGCTAGACAGAAAGTGCAAGTTAAGCCTAATAATTGAGAAAAATTGAATATAAAAATGCCCAAAAATCAAGCCAGCAGGCCAAGTACAAGGTGCCTCACACACACGATTTGTATCACAGAAACAGCAAGGCAAATTTTTGTAATCTATTGTCATGCAAGGAGTTGCTTGGAGAAGGTGCTTGGTCCTGTTGTTTTAGAAGGGCTCCAAAGGCCAGTGGTCATCACACACCCAGCTCTGGTGGGATCTGGTAAGTAGTCAGGGGGTCCTTGGAAAAGAGCAGCAGAAAGTTTCCAGTCAGTAATGCCTCAAGCTAACGAGCACTCCCTTGTCAGACCCAGTTGTTGTCCTGCTGTCTGTGTTTATTTTCCAAGGTAGCAGGAAACTAAGAAACAAGGACATGAGAAGTAAGCAGTGGATGAGGGCAGCCTGAACCAAATTTCAGCCAGCTTTCATCATATAGCAGTCCTAGCAGGAATACTGAGCGTATTTGCTCCCTGATGGGACTAACACATCATTACATCAGGCTGGACAGTAGGTCGGTGTCTGTAACACAGCCTGCAGCACAGCCCAGAGATGGCACCTCGTGTGCTCTGCTTTGTACAAAGTCTTTATACACAGAATAAAAGACCCGTGCCAGGACTCTGTGACTGAGCTGAGAACTGGCAAATGCCTTGGTGTGAACACTAACTGCAGGCAGCTCCATTGGGACCAACTGCTTACTGTGTGAAAATAGAGACCAATATTTGTGTTTGCTGTTTAACACAGTTTAAGCTTCTGCCTCTCTTCCAGCCAGAAGAGCCAGCCTTTTTGTTTAGTGGTATTAGGTGACCTATCTTTATCATTCCTGTGATATTGGTTTGACTTATGGTTTAACATCAGTTGTATCTGGTGTAATCAGATCTTGGTGTCCCTCAAGAATATATAGATATATACACTGTGTGTATTGTTGGGCTTTGAGGAGTAATTTAGCAAGGAAATTATTACACTGTAAGAAAAGCAAGGCAGGCTGCACACACAAGGAATTCTTAAGTGTAAGTCATAGTAGAAGGAAGGAGACATTGCTGAATGAAAAGAGCAGTGGACAAGATTTTACAGAAATAGAAAGGAAAAAACTCCAGTCTATTTGTCAGTCATGTCCCTGCCTAATCATGTCCTCAGCTAAGGATTTCCAAGTACTATGCTTTGCCTTGTGCACAAAAGCAACAGTTTACTAGGAAAATGCAATATGTAACTGGGCAATAGTTCTATAGTTGGGCGAGCCCAAACATCTGAGTGTTTCTGCAAAGTACAGCATTCCCAGAGCACTCCTCGGCTGTCACTGTGACTAATTTGCTAGAAATGGCTGGAGGAACATTCCTTGGTGATCCACAAAAATAGATGCAGAGGATCTACGAGACCGCTCTGGGAACAGGAGTCGCACGGTCAAACCACTGCGTTCAATGCCCCTGGGCAGCGCACGGATTCAGCATCACTCGGGTGACCCCGGGAGCTCGTCCTTCCCTCCCGCCAGGCCGAA